GTATGTTGATCTTGTATCCTGCTACTTTGCTGAATTGGTCAACTACGTCCAATAGTTTTCTTGCTGAGTCTTTAGGGTTTTCTAAGTATACTATCAGGTGCAAAACTCTTGATATAAGGAGCTCGTTTAGCCTCACAACATCCTTAAGCTGTCAGAGTGACTGTGAGCACCTCTTTTTCACCCAAGAGGAAACCAGGGCGATGTGAGGGGCAGAGAACTTGCTAACCTTCATTCAGTTTGTAAGTAGAGGAGTCAGGATTTGAATCCAGAGTCCTCTCCCAAAATTATTCTGTGGTTGTTTTCATAAGTTGAGAAAGTTAAATGACCCCAAAGAAAAGAAAATGTTCCCCTGAGAGACTAAGGTTTTCATTATGCTGTTGCTAACTAAGCATTTTGGAATCTCAGTAATTGACATGATTTGCTCGTTCACTTCCTGAGGAATAGATTCAGACCTAGAGCGACTTTATGTGGATCAGAATAGAACTGTGCCCCCTGAGATCTTCAGTAGCTGATTTCCTGGAAGTAGCTTGTCAGGCTTTCTTTGCAGGTGTCTCTGGGTGGACTTGAACTTCCAACCTCTCTGTTAGCAGCTGATAAGGCTGTATGCACTACCCAGAGAGTCCTCTTGCATTATTGTAGTACAAGTGACTATCTGTCTGTCTGCACTAGACATTTGCTCATGAGTCTGAGCGATAGAGAAGGAAGGCGTTAACTCCCCTGGGGCATAAAAAAGAAAGAATCTAAGGAGACATCTGAGGGAGCTCAGAATTCATGAGCAAGAACAGCCTTAGGGGAGCCAAGATTTTAAAAAAGGTTGCGAGGTCTGGAGAGATATTTTAATTCTTTATTTTTAAAAAATGTTTATTCATTGTGGCACATTGTCCTCTGCCTGCCTCAGTCCACTTTGCAATGCACCTTTTGTTCAGATTGTTGTCATATATATAATGCCTAATCATATATTCCTTTCAGTTCTTCCTCTCATCTGTTCCAATGCACAGTTATCTATCTAGTCTTTTCCTAGTCTCTCTCCCGCCTCCCATGTCTGTCTTATAACAGTGGTGTATTTGTCCTTTTGTGACTGAGATATTTCATACATCATAACATTTTTCAGGCACTACCATGTTGTGTAGTGTTTTACAAGTTCATTGTTTTTCAATGCTGCATAATAATCTATTGTGTGAAGGTACCATAGTTTTCCATGCATTCAATTGTTGATGGACACTTGAGTCACTTCCATCTCTTTGCTATTGTGAATAATACAGCAATAAACATGGATGTGCATATACTTGTTTGAGTCATAGCTCTGGTATCTTGAGGATATATTTCCAGTAGTGGAATTGCTGGGTCAAATGGTATTTTTTTTTAAAAATAAAAAAATCTTAATGCAACTTTATTAAAGGGAGGAGAGGTGAGTACCTGATCATGGAGAGGTGGAATGGGAAGTCACAGCATGAATTTACTGGGGAGGATTTTTATAAACAGAGTCTTTAGGGAGGGACATTCCACTCTGATTTCTCAAATGGTATTTCTAATTCCAGCTTCTTTTGAGAAAGAGCCAGACAGCTTTCCATAGTGGCTGCACCACTTTACATTCCCACCAGCAGTGAATAAGAGTTCCAATCTCTCTATAACCTCGTCAGGATTTGTCGTTCTGTTGAACTTTGTTATTGTTGCTGGGGTGAGATGATATTTCATCATTGTTTTTTTTAATAATTTCTTGAGTCTTTCTCACCTTCGTGCCCTCAAGTTTGTTATGTAGCTCGTTGTTAATCATGTGCTGTCGAGTCAGAACCGACTCATAGCTCACCCTCCAGTGAGTCTGTTTTATTAAATTTTTTTATTTTATTAAATTTTATTAATTTTGATGAACATTCACAGAGATTCTGGGTTTCCATTCCTCCAGTGAGTTTTTCCAAGGCTGTTAATGGTACCAGAAGAGATTGTCTGGCTTTCTGCCATGGAGTAGCTAGTGGATTAGAACCATATGCCTTTGGGTTGGCAGTACAACTCCTTGCCCTGCAGGCTGCTATGGTAGTGTAGACCAGGGAACTGAGCTACTCATCCAAATGTTGCACCTCTCTGGGGTTTCAATGCCACTAGTGGTTTCTTAGGAGAAAAAGAGAGCAATCTCCTCCCATGCAATTTAGTCTCAGAAACCGGTTGGAGGGTCACCTATGAGCGCGTTCTGACTCAACAGCAAAGAGTCTTCCCCAAGGTAAGAGCCACCCTTGGCTATCTGCACAAGGCTTCCCAGCCTATCAATCCTGGGCTGTGAGTCAGTAGTCCTGGCTGGGTTGGGCCTGAGGTTGGTGTGTGAGTGGATGGGATGATAGGAATGTAACCAGAGTAACCCTTAAATGTAGTTGCCAAGAAAATACCTCCAGTGGACTCCTGAAATTTGGGTTTTTCCTCTTGCTAAGTAAGAACAGTGAAATGGGACTCTAGCCTTCTCTATGCAAAGTAAAGGTATTTTGCAATAGTAGACATAATCAAGCAACAATGAGCCCATGATTTTCTTAGAATTATTTGGGCTTATGAAGATTTGGGCAAGAAGTGGTTTCATGTTTATTCATAAGGAAGGTGGGGAATTCTGGGAAATGGTCCATACCAGCTTCAAGACAGATGCTGTTGCAGAGGCTTTTGTGTCAAGAAACATCACTTATTATGGGATGGTGCACATGTGTAATCTGTGCAGGCATCAGTTTGAGGTCTTTTTTTCCAGCTGAAGGTTTTTTACTGCCTCCAGCAGGTCATATAGAGGTCAGAGGATGGTGGACAGAATATACTTAAGGAATCACTTGAAGCAGGTTCTTCCTGGAAAGCAACTTAACAGGAAGTAGGTGCTCATTTAATAACAACAATAACAAAGCAATTGTGGTGCTGGCAAAGAGTACTGAATATCCCACAGACTGCCAAAAGAACAAACATGCCTGCTTTGGAGGAAGTTCAGCCAGGCGATGCGCTTGGATGGTGATATACAGAGGGAAAGACAGTGCTGTGAGGAGGGACAAGTCCTTGGGGAAAGATGTCATGCTGAGGAAGCGAGTAGGATGGAAAAAGAACGAGCAGGAAGCCCCACAACAAAATGGCTTACTGCTGTGACTGTAGCAGTGGGCTCGAGCATGTGTGAGATCATGAGGCTAGCACAGGGTAAGGCAAGGTTCAGAACTATTGTTCATAGGGTCGCTAAGCGTTATAATTGACTCAGTCGTAGCTAACAAGAAGTGCTCACCACAACAGGGTGTGGCCATGTTTTATTAGGGTAAAATATCTGCCTCGTAGTTTTCTGACATACCAGCAGATCCCCTCCCTTAGAATGGAGTATGGCTGCCTTATCTCACTAGGTGTTCAAGAAATTCCGCTGACTGCTCAATAGAAGACTAAGCCATGATTGTTGCTGTTGGTGCGTCCTCGTGCTGGAACTGAGTCAGAGCTGACCTTCCAGCGGGTTTTCAGATGCAGTTAATCACACGGGGGAGACTGTTTATCCTTTAGCTGGTGGATCTGACACAAGTCATGAGGGTTGTTGTGTGCAACTGAGTTGACTGCAACTCAGCAATCCTATGCACAATAGCTCTAAACCCAGTGAGCCAATCTCACTCCGTCTCTGAAACACCCATCCTCACTATCTCAGTTACTGTGTCAGTCCATCCCTCCTGGTTCTTCCCCTCCCTTGCTGTCCCTCCATCATTCCTTGATATACCTCCACAATATCATTCTTCAAGGACTGGTCCCTCCTGGCTACATGCCCAAGATATGTGAGACAGTCTCAAAATCCCCATGACTTTAGTGAATTCTTTTGGCAGGCTGGGGAGGAGGACACATGAGTTTATGTTTTGTTTGCCCCTGAAGCCGATCTTCCTTTTGGGGGAAGGTGGACGTTAGGACGAGGGTATTTTAAGAAACAGGTCACGTCGGTGATCGCAGATACTCTCTTTTCTCCCTTTAGATTTTGACAACTTGAATAAATGGTCTAGATGCGAAGCAGGATCCCTTCCTTAACCATTTTGGCGTTCTTAATCGTGCCAAGTGGGGATGGCGGGCGCACGTGTGCCCTAAAGGTCACGCCGGTGTGAGTGCACGCTGGGGCCCCAGCACTTGATTGGACGCTGCTCTCCACCTGACTGCCAGCCCGGTCACGTGCACACGCGGTCTGTGTGGGAGGGGGCTGGAAGGGGAAAAGGGGGGCGGAAATGGAGATTCCACGCTCCCGTGATCCCCCGCGGTGGTGCCCAGGCTTTGGCGCGGTCCGCAGGGAATGGAGGCGAGCCCGGCGGTGCGAGGGGCGGGCCGCTAGCAGACCACGCCCCGTATAACCACGCCCCTTGGCAGCCGGCTCCTCCTCCTGGCCCTGCCCCTCTCTCCCCCCCAAAGCCCAGCCGGCGTCGGCACCACCCTTCTCTCCCAGTATGCCGTGCGGCAGCGCCGGCGCGGAGGGCGGAGTCGGGAGGCGGGGAAGTCGTGGCTGTGTGAGCGTGAGGCGCTGCCGCCACCGCCTCCTCCTCCTCCTCACTGTCCTCCTCCTCCTCCTGGGCCCCGGCGTCGCGGGCCGCGCACGGCTCTGGAAGAGACGTCGCCTCCCCTTCCTCCGCCTCCCCCTCGCCGCGCGGCTCCCGCCTCCTAGTCCTGCGCTGCGGGCTCAGGCGGAACCCGGAACGGCCGTCCGCCTCCCCCGCCCTCCGCCGCCTCTTCCTTCGCCTCTTTCTCGGTTTCCTCCTCAACCCCGGGCCGGAGCGGAGTGTCGGCAGCGGCCGGTTCGGGCGGCTCCTCGCGCTTCTTCGGGCGGCGGCGCTTGGCCATGTCGTGTCGGGGAAGGTAATGAGCCGCAGAGCCCCGGGGTCTCGGCTGAGCAGCGGCGGCGGCGGCACCAAGTACCCGCGGAGCTGGAATGACTGGCAACCCAGGTGGGTGAGGCGGCGCCGAGCCCGCCGCCCCGACCTCCCGACCCCGCCGCGGGCCGCCGAGGCCTAGGGCTGCGGGGCGGGGAGGCGCGGCCTAGGCCGTCCACCTTCACCCCCACCCCGGGAACCGGGCGCGGCTTCCTGGGTCCCCTCCCGCCCGGTCCGGGGGAGGAAGGCCGCTGGGCGGCGAGGCCTCAATGCCGCCCCTCCTGCATTTCAGCCCCGGGGCTGGGTCCTGGACGGTGAAGAAAGCGGGCGGGGTGCTAGGGGACCCTTGCTGGTTCCCACCCGCACGTGCACACGCACACCCACAAGTTGGCCTCTGGAGTTGGGCTCCTCGAGTCCGGGACCCTCCTCCGGTTGGCGCTCCCCTCCTCGCGCCTCCACGTGAACGTCCTCCTCTGCTGTGCTATGTTCTCTGACCTCTCTCTCCCCACGTGTTCCTTCAAGTGTTAGGAACAGACAACTGCAGCCCAGGCTCTACGCTCACTCTGGTGGAACGTGAGATGACAAATGGGAAATGTGTCTGCCAGGGGGGTCGACCTGGTCCTGGGAAGTTGTCACCCCACCCCAAGTGCAGGGGAGCACTTAGCTGCTCTAAAGAGCATCTTGTCACTGAACCCTTAGACAGCCAGTATTTGGACAGCCAGTGGATTTCTGGCTGACCTTTCATGGAGGGTTTGATCTCAAAAGAGGGGTGCTTTGGGATCTTAACTCCTTTTGAGTTGATTACACCCATCACCACCCCTTACCCCCCCAAAGATATATTTGACTTTCAGGTTTTCTTCTGATTAATCATGGGGCACTTGTGCCTAATTTAGGACTGATTTGTTCTTACCTTTTTGCTGCCTGAGTGTTTATAATAACTCAGACGCTATTTAAAATTGAGTTAAGTCAATGCCTGGAAGAGGACTCTACCAATGTGTGGGGTGTTTTAGGTGGACTTGATTCGTGGAGTGTACCTATTTTGAAGCACCCTTGTTCTCTGATTGTTTAGAAACTGGCAAAACAAAGGCGAGATGAAGAAGTGCACCTTATTGGAATGCCTTTTACCTGGCGGAAGAATTGAGATGATGTTTTTGGCTAATGGATGGCATACTTTACATTATTTTATAATGTGTCTTGGCAAATCCTGGCAAGTCTATTGAGAATTGATGTGTGTGATTAATAGTGACTTTAGAAGTTAATACCTAAGTCTAGCATTTGGGATGTTTAAAACTCGTTGCTGTCCAGTCTGAAGACTCATAGCTGACCTGCCAGTGGATTTTCAGATCCTGAATCTTAAGGCAAGAGATTATCCATCTTTCTCCAAGCACCTGGTGGATTCAAACCATCTTTAAAAGTGTGACCTTTAGTCCCTTAGACTACATACACTACCAAAGTTCCCTGTTGATATGCTAAAGGGGAAAAATTGTTTGAAAAACCACACTTTGACTTGCTCCAGACCATCTAGTATTTCAGAGTGCTTTAAATAAAAATCAGTTGACTAAATATTTTTGTATGTATTTGACATTTGTAGCTGTTTTGCACTTGCATGAAAATATTTGGACCTGGTGTCCTTCCTTCTCTTTTCTGGCATCTAACAGAATGAATCTGAGTTTGATAATGGAGAGCTCTTTGACAATGGGTTTCCCATGACTTTTAGTATTTTTTTTTTTAATTTTATTTTATATGTGTGTGTGTGTGTGTGTGTGTGTATACCGTCAAATCAGATCTGACTGGTACAGGAGGAGATTGTTCCTCCTTCTCCAGCAGAGCATCTGGTGGTTTTGAACCGTGCACCTCTGGGATTGCAGTACACCTTCTTGCCACTAGGCCACCAGAGCTCACCGACTTTTAGTATTGTCTACATCATATATAAGAGAACGTGCCATCTCTTTAGAGGACAGAAGTACCCTTCACAAGTAGTCCTAGAACTTTTGGAAAAGGAAAAAAAATATGCTTCTAAATGAATGGAGTAGCAGACATGAGGCAGGGTCATCTGATTTAGTCCTAGTTAGGATGAAACAGAATGGCCTAGTTAGGGAATGTGAATACATCAGCCATATAATTTTTTTCCCAGTTGCTTTTATTATTTTTTACCTTTTGGAAGAGTAGAATGGAATATGGAATAGAAGCTGTGTAGCAAAGTCTCAAAACCTGTGTAGATGATGCTGCAGCAGGCACCTGGTTACATGGAGTAACAGTGTCAGAACTGAAGTTTTCCCACTGAATTGGTTGAACTCCGCCTGGTGAGCCTCCATTGGGTTTCTGAGGCTGTAAAATCTTAACTAGAGGAAACTGCTTCATCTTGCTCCGTAAGAACTACTAGTGACTTTGAACTACTAACCTTTAAGTTAGCAGCTGAACACTCTGCCCCCAATCTGTGCTCCTCAGAAGTGTGTGAAGTTGAAAAAGAATTTTCTTTTGCTGGAGAGGAGGGACCCGAACTATATGGACACACCCCATAGCATATCTTGGTATATTTACAAAGTTGTAGTAATTGTTTTCTTAAAATTGGTCTGAAAAAATCTCAGATGCTTGTCCGTTCATACACGTTCACAAGTTAAAAGCTGCCGTTAATTCTGCCCCATACTCTCACCATCCAAGCATAACAGATTTGGTAAAATAATAGTTAGGTTGAGTGTAAAAAAAAAAAAAAAAAAATTCTGCCCCATGTCTCGTAAAGGTGATCAGACTTTGTTTTTTATTTCTCCAGAGCATCTTCAAATGTAGACATTTTAGGGTGCATCTGAATTATTTTGATTTTTAGAAACAATGGTTGACTTTTTTGGTTCCGTTTCTTTCATGATTATTTTTGACTGTGTTTCTTGATTTAGGCTTTTAAGGAAGGGTTATAAAACAGTTTTTGTCAGTTTCTGCTAGTGTTTGCCAGTTATTAGGTAGAAATGACTGTTGAGTCAATCATAGCCACAGGTGATAGTCACACTTACTGACAGGAAGCGTTCCAGGTGGCTAAACAGTGTCTTAAGGCAACAGAACAAGCCCACTCTTGACAGCGTGTCTTTGTCATTAAGCACTTTGTAAAGCTGAGTGAAAGCTTATAAAGCACATTGATTTTTAATCCAATCAGTCTTTCATATTTTGTTTTGTAACATGAATTACAATGGTTAATATAATTACAGTGTATATTCCTTTTTATATATCACCTTTTCCTTCACTCTATAGATCTATTCATTTTACCTCTCCCATCCTTGATAACCATTCAAGAATGAATTTGTGTAAATCTTCCTTTAGCTGTTTATAAAAGTGGTCTCGTATCATTTATTTTATTTCATTAGGGATCTCTAGTGGCGTAGTGGTAAGGAGGTATACTTCCAATCCAAAGGCATGTGGTTTGAATCCACCAGCATAGGAGAAAGATTGGGCAGTCTTTTGTGTGATTTACTGCCTCTGAAAATCCAGTGGAGGGTCAGCTATGGAGGATACTGACTGGACAGCACATAACAGCATATATCATAATTGTTCTTTTGTGATTTATGTCGTGCAGAATAATTTCCTCAAGATTTATCCATTGTGTGACCATACCATAATTTCTTTTAGACTTTTGTTTGTTGATGGACACATGGGTTGTTTCCAGCTCTTTGCTGTTGTAAATTGTGTTGCAATAAACATAAGTGTATGTATGTTAGTTTATGTCACCAGTCTTGTTTATTTGAGATATACACCAGAAGTGGGGGAGCTCTGGTGGCCTAGTGGTAAGAAGTGGGGCTGCTTTCCCAAAGGCACACGGTTTGAATCCACCAGGAATAGGATGGACAGTCTTCTTTCTCAGGATTTACTCTCTCTGAAAACCCACCAGAGAGTCGGCTATGAGTCAGTTCCAACCCAAGAGTACACAACAACAACCATTAATGGAATTGCTGGATCAAATGATATGTCTATTTCCAACTTTCTGAGGACATGTCAAACTACTTTCTGTAACGGTTGCATCATTTTACATTCTGACCAGCAGTGTAAGAGAGTTCTAGTCTCTTGATGCCCTTGCCAGCATTTGTTGTTTGCTGTACTGAACTTTGCTGTTGCTGAGGTGAGAGAATACATATATCTCATTGCCAGTATTATTTGCTCTTTAATAGCTATTGTGGTTTTTTTGCCATCTGAATATCTTCTTCGGTGCTAGCATGAAGCACTTGTATAGTACTGGTTTATAGTCTTCCTTTTTATTGGATGCATTCTCAGCTAGTATATAAAAATTATTAATTCAGTGAGTACTTTTAAATACTGATTTCAATCTGTTGACTCAAACATAAGCTGACAAGAGAAGAATTTGGGGAGCCTCTGGATGCTTGATATTTTTTTTTTCCACATGGAGAAACAAGTGTAGTGACTGACCAGTTTGGAGAGCTCACACGCACGCACACCCCAACCAGATCCATTTTGAAAAAGAGCAGTTATTACTACCAATGAAAGTCTTGGGGAAAAAAAAAAAGTCTTGGTTTTTTCCCCTTGTATTTTCATTTTGTTGTTGTTGTTGTTGTTGTTGTTATGTGCCGTCGAGTCGCTTATGACTCATAGCAACCCTATGTACAACAGCCCTAAACTCTGCTCTGTCCTTTGCCAGTCACACCATCTCCGGTACACCCATCCCGATTGCCCCAGTCACTGAATCAGTCTACCTCATGGAGGGTCTTCCCCCCCCTGC